CAATAACGATAATAACATCAATGATCACTGATCATAGGTCACCATAATAGATAAAATAATAATGAAAAAATTTGAAATATTGCAAGAATTACCAAAATGTGACATGGCGACATGATGTAAGCACATACTATTGGAAAGAATGGCATTGACTGACTTGCTTGATGCAGGACTGCCACAAACTTTCAATTTGTAAAAAACAAAAAAAGAAATATCTGCAACATACAGTAAAGTGAAGCACAATAAAACAAGGTATGCCTGTACCTAGTTAACACTTAGCATAGTACCTGGTACACAGAATAAGTACCTGATTAATGCTTGTTGACTGACTGACATCTTGATTTCAAGTCTGGCATGGTATTCACTACACCATTAGATTGCTGATCCTATAACTAAAAGATAGTTGCATCTTTTAAGACAGATCATGGGATCATAGTTCTAAAGCTGGAAGTGACCTCTGAGGACATCTATTCAATTCTCCTATTTTACCAAGAAAACAGTCCTTTAGGCCAAGTGATTTTCCCAAGGTGACAAAGGTATTAAGTGATAGTGCCAGGATTTCAGCCCAAGACCTCTGACCTACAATAGTGAGGATAGAAAAGTACAGCAGGATAAGGAAACAGCAAAGACCATATAGATGGATTAATCACCAAGTATGGAAAACTCCCCCAAGAAGTTCCTACTATGTTGTGGGCTACCAAACATTGCTACCGTAAAGATTCCAGCATCAAAGAAGACCAGTGGTGTATGCTTCAGGAAATTGGTCATGATAGCCTCTGGGTTGTAGAATGTTTTGAAGATTGATCAAGGCAGGATGAAAGGATAAGGTTGGGCACCTCAGACCTGGAGCCCCGGGTGTACCTTTGTGTGACCTTTAATATATTCTTTTCATTACATTCCTTTTCTAACTGTCATCAGGAGAGTTGTAGTGTTTGTGTCTATGAGCTGCTATGTGCATGTTTCTTAGAAAGCAGTACATATGCACCCAGTGGAGGGGCTGGGAGAGTGAAGCACAGACAGGGTTAACAGATGTTCTATCCCTAATAATACCCTTAATGAGCCACTCCCCCACCAACCAAGGAAATGTGAGTATCAGCTAGTAGTCTTGTAGTAACCCTGATTGTAGAAAGTCAGAAACTTTAACAAATAGAAGGTCTAATGTGAAAGTATTAAGAAAGATACAAAGCATTATGCTAATTCACATTTGAAAGAATCATTAGATTTGGGGGTCAGAGGTCTTGGGTTGAAATCCTGGCTGTATCACATAATACCTTTGTCAGCTTGGGAAATTCTAGCTTGGGATGGAGAAGAGAAAGAAGAGTTCAGACAGAGTGCAGCATTTGAACTAGACCTTGAAGAATAAGTAACAACTGGACGGACAGCGTATTCAAGGCAGAGGGAATCATGAACATTCAACTTATTTAATTATATTTCCACCAAAATTGAGCAACCAAGATGTTTTTCTTTCATCCAGAGTGGTCCAATTATATGACTTTTTTTTTTCTTGGTTCAGTCATCTTCAGTTGTTTGACTCTTTGTGACCCCATTTGGGGTTTTATTGGCAAAGACACTGTTTTGTCATTTCCTTCTCCAGCTCATTTTACAGACAAGAAAACTGAGGCAAATGGTTAAGTGACTTGTTTAAGATCACAAAACTAGTCAATGTCTGAGGCTGGATTTGAACTCAGGTCCTCCTGACTCCAGGTCAATTGCTCTATCCTCTAGACTACCTAGCTGCCCAGTTAATAATAAGACTACCTTATATAAACTCAAGTCCCACCTCTTACTTGAAATTTTCCTAATAGTACCACCCTACTCGGAAGTGATTTTTCTGTCCTATGAACTTACATCTTTGTTTACCTCCTTATGTACTTATATTGCTCTACTAATATTTATTAGTTGATGTACCTTATTTCCCCAACTAAATTATAAACCTGTGTATAGGGACTATATCTTATTCATCTTTGTATCCACTTTGTATCCACGATAGGATGAGCACAATATGTTGCATATTGCAGTTACTAAAATAATTGTTTAAAGAATACAATGAGTTAATTAACAGTTGGTCAAAAAGCATTATGTTCTAGACACTGTGCTAAACTGCTAAACCCTGAGGATACAAAGAAAGACAGATAGTCTTTGCTCTTATGGAGCTCTCAGCCTAAGGGAGAAAATGACACAAACCAGCTGCATATAAACAAGCAAACAAGTTACTGGAGATAATCAAAAGAGGGAAGGCACTAGAATTTAGGGGAAGGGTTCTCAAAGAAGATGGGATTTTTAGCTAGTACTTGATGGAATCCAGGGAAGTCAAGGAAAGCAATAAGGCAGTATGAATGTAAATAAGTCAGGCTGTATCGTAGAAAAATAAACAGAAAAGAGATGAAAATACTCAGAGGCAAGTCCTCAACTTTAGTTATACAGATCTTTAGTATTACAAAACATTTTCTTCAAATAACTCTGGCGCATGGATGACGCATGTGTCCCTATTTTATAAATTAGAAAAATGAGGCTCAGGCAGAGCCAAGATGGTGGAGGGAAAGCAGTGACTGTCTTGAGCTCTCTCCCAAAGCCCTCCAAATACCTAAAAAAATGGCTCTAAACAAATTCTAAAGCAGCAGAACCACAAAAAGACAGAGTGAAACAATTTCCAGCCCAAGACATCCTGGATAGTTGATTAGAAAGGTATATGACGCCCGGGTGGGAAAAGGAACGCAGTTTGGCGTGGGCTAGCAGGCTGCAGCGACCCTGGAGCAGGCCTCAGAGGACTGAATCGCGGGCGGCTGTGGCGGTTTCCAGACTTCTCAACCCCTGAATGCCAAATACAACTTAGAAGGTCAGTGGGAAAAGTCTGTGACTGCGGTGAGAGAGGAGCTAGGTCTCAGCCGCGAGTCTCAAGCGCTGCTTCTGGGGCCGCCGCTGTTTCCTGAGCTTCCGGCCCACAGACTGAGGGGGAATCGAGTGGCTGATCACAGGGGGATTGCAGGGTTGTCTTTGCCAGTTCTGAGGCAGGAATCTCTTGTTTGCCCATGCTTGGATCTGGGTCACAGTTGTGAGGGGCGGTCCTGGGGTGAGGAGGAACGCTGGTACGGTAGAGCTTGTTGTGGTGGTGGAGAGAAAACACCTTGCCCCTTATCATAACACCTTGGAAGAACTGAAAATTTACAGGTCCCTAGAAGTACCTCTGAAAACAGCTGTACAAACCCCCGAAGCTTGGGACAGTACACTCTTCACATTGGAAGCAGACTTTTACCTTAACAAAGAGTTCAAAACTCAAGTAATTGGTTGGGATCATGAGTAAGCAGCGCAAAAAGAGTCAGACTATATTATCTTACTTTGGTGACAAAGAAGACCAAAACATACAACCAGAAGAAGACAACAAAGTCAAAGCTCCTACATCCAAAGCCTCCAAGAAAAATGTGAATCAGTCCCAGGCCTTGGAAGAGCTCAAAAGGGATTTTGAGAAGCAAGTAAGAGAAGGAGAGGAAAAACTGAGAGTGATGCAAGAAAATCATGAAAAACAAGTCAACAGCTTGCTAAAGGAGACCCAAAAAAATACTGAAGAAAATAACACCTTAAAAAATAGCCTAACCCAAATGGCAAAAGAGGTCCAAAAAGCCAATGAGAAGAAGAATGCCCTAAAAAGCAAAATTGGCCAAATGGAAAAGTCCCAACGCTTACTGAAGAAAATACTTCCTTAAAAATTAGAATAGAGCAATTGGAAGCTAGTGACTTTATGAGAAATCAAGACACTGTAAAACAAATCCAAAAGAATGAAAAATTAGAAAACAATGTGAAATATCTCACTGGAAAAACAACTGACCTGGAAAATAGATCCAGGAGAGAGAATTTAAAAATTATTGGACTATCTGAAAGCCATGATCAAAAAAAGAAAAATGAGGCTCAGAGAAGCCTCACAACCAAGTGTCATGTGACTAGTGTTTCCAGCACTTACTATAAGATGCAAAAAATCTGAAAGAATTACAACAGCTACAGTTTCTAAGACTGTGATCTAATTGATGATATCAGCGCAGTAGTAATATCTATTTAGCATATCTTTTCTTCCCTTCTTGTTTATCATGTGCAGCTATGCTTTGAGGTAGTTCTGACACTATCAAACCTCTTCTTAGGGTGTTTCCACGAACTCTACAATTTTGACCCCCAAAATGCCAAAAATGCTTCATCTGATTCCAAGGTGGGTTATGGACAGGCTCCCACATTATTTCCTTTCACCCAGTTTACAAAATGTCTTAGATGACCTAATGCTTCCATAATGTCAGATGTTAACAATGAGTGTGTGAGGCAAAGGAAAACATCTGGAGATAGGCACCAGAGATAACTCTAGAGGAAGACCTGAGTTGGAGAAGAAAAAGTATTTAAGTAAGGTCTACACTTAGGGCAGCAATGATGTCGAATTGTCAAGTCAACGCATCTTGTGTGAAGCTCACAATATAGTTTGGCTATAAGTATGGGATTAAAAGGTCAGATAAGGTTGTAGAGTGCTTGAAGTATTTCTGCTGTGGAAGTCTAGTGTTCTTTTCTGTTTATTTTGTGTCATCTCAGATGCTGACCGTCTGAAAGAGATATTTAAGAGTTTAAGGTGTGTATATTCCCAAAGGTTTCTCTGTGTAGATCTTTTGTTGGCTCCCATAAAGCCCCTGTAACCAGACACAGAATTTATCAAATAAAGGACCAACAATGATATATCATGCAGAGGAAGGAATATCCAACAATGGGCATTATAACATAAGGCTAACCACCGTAATGATAAATAAAACTAAAAGCTGGTTCTAATAAAACTGATTAACCAATTCTTAGCTAATCTGATTTTAAAAAAGAGAACAGAAAATCAAATCAATAAAATAACAAATTTGCTAAAGAAAATCATAAGAAAAAGAAATTAAAAAATAATCAGAACATATTATGCACAATTATATAGTAACAAAACTTTAGAACACAAAAGAAATAGAGAAATACCTTCAAATGTATAAAATAATACAAACCTAAAATTGCCTTACTGATGGATTCCTTCCCTCCATCATGGAAGAGTGGCACCAGTGAAGTGGATCTAGGTTGGGATCCAGGTATGTTATCAGGGAAAATAGCTATGGAAAATAAGATAAGTACATGGGGAAGCTGGTAATTTCAGCTATTTCTCCATGGAGTCCATACTTTCTCTACTTGAAAAAATGGACTGATTATCTAGTCATCCGTTAGGATAGAAGTAAAAGGTATGCATCCCTGCTATTTTCCCACTAGGTTCTAGTGCATACTTTAAAGGATCTCACATAGTGCCTAACAAACTTATTGACCTGGGTCCATGAGAAACGCCAAGTGATAATGTCCTGAGTTTTGAATAGTACTCTGTGATCTGTTGTCCAATTGTCATAACAAAGATAGAATATGTTCCTACAAGTCAATCTTAGAAGCATCAAAGATCTGGGAGTACATGTATTAGGTAGTAGTCTACAATAGACTTACTGGAATAGGTCTATTAAGTACTGATTTTCCTTTGGGAATGAGGTTCATTCCAGTTTTAAGGGAAGTCTGAGAATCTGTAACATATGTCCCTTGGTCTTTCTAATGATAGAGCCCTTTTAGGAGATCTAGCTATGCTTGGTGGTTGCTGAATTTGGCAGGTGTAGAAGTTGTGATGGTCAGGAATAAAAACAACACATTCTGACTTTCAGGATATTTAGTGAACTTTCAGTTCATCCAGATTACAAGGATTTTGAGCAAAGATTACAAAGTAAATATTTCCAGACAACCACAACTCCCTTGAGAAACTACCTAGCAAGGATAAACAAGAGCACCAGAAGAAAGAAAGATTCAATAAAACAAAGGAGAAATATAAGTAAACGCCTCCATCTAGTTCAGGATTAGACAAGAAGAAAGCAGGAAGGCCATTATAGTTGAGATCCAATCAGAGGCAGCTAGGTAGCATAGTAGATAGGGTGCTGGACCTGGAGTCACAAAGATGAATTCAAATCCAAGCCTTGGACACTTACTATACTTATTGCAGTAGAAAGAGTACTGTATCTAGAATTGGGAAAAACTTAGAGTATGGGAATCAGGAAAATCTGAGTTCAAATCTAGCCTTAGACACTCACTCTGTGACCCTGGATAAGTCACTTAATCTCTGTCTACCTCAGTTTCCTCATCTGTAAAATGAAAATTATGATAGAACGTACTACCCCAAGGTTGTCCTGAGGATAAAATGAGATATTTGTAAAGCATTTTAAAAACATTAAAAGACTATGTAAAAATTTTCATCATCATCATCGTCTCTCTAATTAGAATGTGAACTCCTTGAGAGAATTTTCCTTCCTTTTTTTTTTTTTTTTTTTTTTTTTTAAATTTTGATTCCCCAGCACTTAGCAGTGCCTGGCTAAGTAAACAATAAATACTTGTTGACTGACTGAGCTATACTCTGCATACTGGGTGGTCTTAGGGAGTCTATTCCTTTCTATTGTGCCCAATTACCTCTCAGATCCCACTGATATAAATCCTTTCATCTCAACTAGGGAAGAAGCAGAAATGTTAGTTGATATCCCTGGCTCAATCTGGCAATCAGATCTATCAAATCAGCTTTTCTAAAATTACTTCATCAGTTTCTATCAAGTCAATTGTAGCAAAACAGCACCTTATTATTCTTGGCACTTTACAAGAGCATTTTTTGTCAACTTTTCTTACACTAAAGCTTATAGGAAACTAATCATAGGATCAATGATTTAGAGTTAGACCTTAGACCTTAAAGGCCATCTAGTCCAACCTTCTTATTTTATAGATGAAGAAATGGAGGCTCAGAGGGTAAAATTATTATATTTCACTTGGGCAGGTGATATAAAACTTAAGAACCTTATTAATAATCTTTTTATACTGACCAAAAAACTACAATACCTCATTCTTTATATGTAGGACTTAAACATCATTTTTTTAAAGAGGATTCCTTTCAACTTATTCTTTTTTCTAACATTATTTTTTTTCCAATTACATGTAAAGAAAGTTTTCAACATTCACTTTTATAAGATTTGAGTTCCAAACTTTTTTCTCCCTCCCCTCTCCTCAAGACAGCAAGCAATCTGATAGAAGACCTCAATATCATTGAGAAAAGCATAAATAAACAGAGAAGAAATAGAGAACAGGGAAACTAAAAAGAGTTTCCCAAATGGGCAAATCGATTTCTATTTGAGAAACAGTTTGGCTTAGTGTCTGGCATATTGGACTCAGAATTAGGAAGGATTGGATTTAAATCTTGCCTTTGATATTTAGCATGAAAATAAGCAAGTCATTTAACTTCTCCAAACTTGTAGTAGGTGGCTGGAGGCATCTAGGTGGCTCAATGGATAGAGCAATGGGGCTGGAGTCAGGAAGACCTGAGTTCAAATTTGACCTCAGATACTCACTAGCAGTGTGATCCTGGGAAAGTCACTTAACTTTTGTTTGCCTTAATCCACTGGAAAAAGAAATGGCAATACTCTAATATCTTTGCCAAGAAAACCCCATATGGAGTCACAAAGAATTGGACACAACCGAATGACTGAACAGCAAAACTTGTTTCCTCATCTGTAAAAGGGAATAATAATATTAGTACCTGTCTCAGGTTTGGTGAAAGGCTTAAATGAGATAAAGTATTTAAAGTGCTATACAAGTACCTTTTATCCAAAAATTCTTATATGATTTCAATTAGCTTTCAAGCCATGTGACCCTGGGCAAGTCACTTAACGTCTGTTTGCTTTAATCCACTGGAGAAGGAAATGGCAAAGCATTCCAGTATCTTTGCCAAGAAAACTCCAAGGATAGTATTGGCATGATGGGATCACTAAGAGTGAAACAACTGAACAACAACAACATTAGCTTTAAAGGAGACTTCTGCTAGACTTAATTGACTTTGTAAGAGTTTGTAAATCAAAATTTTTGTTATTCTAAAAAAAAAAGTATGATGGAGCAACTAGTCCTTACTTGATGCTGTAACAGAAAATATCATTACAATTAAACACTAATTAAGCACCACTATTTCCACTTTGAGCAAAACATGTGTACATGCATGCACTTGCTCATGTGTGCACACACACACACACACACACACACACACACACACACAGTCCCTGCCTTCATGAAGCTTACATCGTACTAGGAGTATGTATACAGATAAATACCAGGTAAGTGAAAGGAGGAAACACTAACTACTGGAAAAGCTTTCTAGATATGAATTGTACTCTGATGCTTCAAAACTGAACACTTTAGAATGTTATGAAATGCATTAAGAAACTCAAAGACCATAAGATAAGAAACCACTTAATATATGGGAAGCAAGAGAAGGATAAATGCATAACAATTAGGATGACAATATCCTAGATTGAGCTTTAGATCATTCGGATTTGAAGTACAGGTAGTAACAGCTGGCACTTATTTACTTTCAGAGAAAGTGACCTGGTGATAAAATTTAGAAACCCCAAATTTTGGTATAGATATGACAAAGAAAAGGGTAATGAATTGCCAGTAGTAAATAACTACAAGAGTAAAGGGAACCATTGCTCTCTTTTAGAATTAATCAGATTCTTCAGATGGAAAACAATGGACAGCATTCCTCTTCCCACACTAGATACACTATTGTTCAGTCTACAGAGGTAGCAAGACTATCTGAATGTTCCCAAACTGTTGCTAACAAATACTCTTATCAAGAAGACTGAGAGGGTCACTCATTACCCTAGAAAAGGCCTCTTCAAAAGCATAAGGAATTGTTGTTCTAAGCCTACAGTTGGTGGAATGGACATGTTTGGGGGAAAGGAGGGGCATGTGTCTGTGTCTCCCTGCACATGGGTGTTTGCTTTGGGAGACAGCTGCCAGTGATTCTGAGCTATACAACTGTAAGGAGTAATTTCTTTTAATTCCCTTCTTTCTTCTCTGAAAAAATTTACATGACAAATTGGCCCTGCTTCCTGGGGTTTTGATGGAAAGTCCCATTAGTCGACTCCAACAAGACTGTGATGTAGTGAAACCTCCTTGTCCATTTGACCCTCTCACACTGTGGGACACCAAAACACCCCTGGTTTTGACGTCATGTAGCAGGAGATGCAGATTGGGATGTTTTGTTTGGGGTTATTTGACCTGGGTTTTTGGCATGTCTTCTCATTTACATAACTAGTTGCCTGGGACTGTGTTTATGTTTTGAAAAGGAGCAAGCAAACTGTTCCTGCATATTTTAAAAAAGCAACTATAAAACAATTAGTTTGGTTTTGTAACATCCTCTTCTACCTCTCCCAAACAAGAAAAGTATTAACTAGTAGTTCTCACAAGACTTTGCAACAACTCATCTTTATTTTAAACAAAACTTCAAGTGACCCTGTACTATGAAATACTTTGAAATAGTTAACTTACATCTTCTTTTAAGGATAGGCACTGTACCTGTGATTTTGCTGGTATAGGGAACTACTGGTTGAGAAAATTCCCTTTCTGCCAATACAGTTTAGAATCTTCTCTTCAGTTTATAATCTTACAGAATTGCCTAGAGCCCAGAGAAAACTCTCTGGGTGACTTCCTGGCAGTATATATTAGAAACAGGACTTAGAACCAAGTCTTCCTGTCTTCAAGACCAATTCTTTATCTGCTGTACCATGTTGCCTCTCTATATAGTATTAAATGGAATGACTGATTTGAAAAAAAACTTATATTTTCTGACCACTTTTAGTCAGAATTCAATAATATTAAAAATAATATTAACTATTATTACAATACATGATGAAACTTCTGTGCATCAGTTTTTTCAACTATAGTTGAATAGAGATAGTATCTGTACTTATGAGATGCAGTGGTGTAATGGATAGAGAATTGGCCTTCTATTCAGAAAGGCCTGTGTTCAAGTTATTTCTCTGATTCATACTGGACTAGACAAATCACATGAAATGGTTTGTAAATATTAACTATGTGACTTTGGTTTTGCCCTCTACCAACTTAGTAATAAAAAGTGAAAAAAGAAAGTGTTTTTAAGTCCTAGAGAATTGCCTGAGGTTAACCTAGAGGTTAACCAGCCTCACATAGCCAGTAAAAAAAGAAAGCAGCATTTGAACCCATGCTTTCCAAATTCCAAGCTCAGTACTCTATG